ATACTCTTTGTTGAAAGAAATGTGAGCAGTGAGCTGCAGTGTTTGTGGGTATCTGTGAAAGTTGCACATTGTAAGCTTTTTTCCTCGGAAGCAAGCCACGTTCTCAGCTCCCTTAACCTGGTTTGGCCTGCAGGTTTACCCCAGTGGAGGATTTAGACCTGTGCTTTCGTTTGTGTTGCGTTGGGGTTTCTTGTTTTGTTCTTTGCTGTTCTCTTTATTTTTTACACAAAACAGATTTTTTTTTTTTTTTTTATTTTTTTTTTTTTGTTTTTTTTCTGGGTCAGTTGTTAATCATCTCTTGGTACTTTCGCTATATCTAGGCCACAACAACTTTTAAGAGCTGTTTCTGCTAGGACTAGTAGTATTTGTTGTGGTGTTGCTGATACTTCAGGAATCTGACCAGCGGCCAGTACTAACACCTCTGATTAAAATGTTAGCCTTTTTCATTTTACGTGCTAGCTAGCAATAGAATTGCAATGTTGAATCGTTAAATCTAAAAGTTGATAGTAGTATTTCCCAGCGTATTAGGCTAACTCAGTTTTAGGTATTCAAAAAGAGTTAAGGATGGTGTAGTGAGATGAAATAATAGCTGGCAGGCAGGTCTCTATCATTTGTACTTACATTACATTAATCAGTAGCTGAAATGTCATTAAAACGCAGCCAGACATTTTCAGAGCTCCTTTCCAACTATCATTAGTTGTCATGCACGTATTTTAAAAAAATAAGGCTTTGAATGCTTTCAAAGGCAAAGGGATTTGAAAGTTTAAATTACAAAATACTTAAACAGCAAAAATATTGAAGTAATAAAAGGCAGGTGAGCAGTTCTGACTTAAAAATACATACAGACCTAGATATATGTTGGGATGTATCATCTTGTTTCCTCCGCTGGTATAAATCATTGTAGCTTCATGGAAGAAAATGGAACAGTGGCAATGTACAAAAGGTAAAAATCTGGCCCAGACACTTAGAACAAAGATCTGGTCGGGACTTCTGATTCCGCTGAAGCCTGGTTTATGAAATTGCTTTATATCATGCACTGACACTTCCAGAGAGGGAGCCTTGGGTTCACTGAGCACTTCAGAGTTCGCTGTGTTAAGTGGGTCTTAACCACGCGTACTTAGAAAAGCTGAAGATCTTATATTATTGGTACATAATGTAAAAAATGGTGATAGTCCCTATTGTAGGCAATCTGTCAAGAGTTTATTACCAAAAAGCTGAAGATCTTATATTATTGGTACATAATGTAAAAAATGGTGATAGTCCCTATTGTAGGCAATCTGTCAAGAGTTTATTACCAAAAATAATCTACTCCTAAAGTGAAGTTATTACTGCGTGGAAAAAATACATTGTAAGCATCAAAATTGGCAAGACAGATTTGACAAATTTGCAGTGGCAAGGACTTAAAGGCTTCAAGGATTAAAGACACTTGAATACGGCTCTTCTGTTTCTTGTTTGTGTAGTTTCAGCATTAAAAATATTATATCCTAACAGTTTACTAAAACACTCTGAAAAAATATTCCATGTCTTAATATTAATCATTCTTTTTATCATAATTATTTCATAATCTATATTGCTGAATTCTTATTGACAATATTATAACTGTATGGGAACTTTAACTTGATAAGGAAATGTATTTTGACACTGATACCTTATTAAAGTATACTGATCCTAAATTCTTTGTGACTCATTTGCTATGAATTTGTTATTTGTTGTATTATTGTAAAACAAAAGTATTTATTAAATTATTTATAGAAAATAAAGGTTTGCATTGATCTTTGAAGAATGAATGAACAAATAACAGTTCCCCATCTCTGAGAGCCAGCCAGGGGTCTGTACCCACCAAGCTTTTTGTAGCGTGTACCGAGCCTGCCTTGGCGGGAGAGTTAATGCCCTGCAGCTCGCCCCTCGGAAACACGCTGTGTGCTTTGGGGTGCTGCTTCAACTTTGGAAGCGTGTTTCTGAAAATTTAGGTGACAAAACCACATTTTAGAGTCTCAGTTGCCGCAGTTCTGTTTTTGTGGCAGTAACATAAGCCATCCTCTTCTGGCAGTCCTGACAAGCCCGTGAATAACAAACAGGGCTTTCCCCCATCCACGCCCAGTGCTGCTGTGCAATGTGCCTGTCCTTTTCCCTACCGATTTTTTCCTACAGAAAGGGCCAGTTTTGCCGGTGTAGTAACGCTGAGCATGCTCTCTAGGAGGACAGACGTATTCAGAAATGAGATTCTTAATGCGTGCTTACCCTCTGGCTGGGCTGTGGGGCACTTTGAAAGGTTATCATTGCTAACTGCTTGTCATTACTATTTGCTTGTCACTCACTAAAGACTAAAGTCACCAAATTTTCTGCAGGGTACAAAACAACTCTTCGCTGCTAAATCTGTTGTGAGTGACGAGCAAAGAGTGTGTGCCCCCTGCCCTCCCTTTTATAGCATCCCATTGCACTCCGGGGCACTCGCACAAAGTCTGACTCAGCATGTCCTGTCTTTATCCAGCTGAGGGTTAAAAAAAAAGTCGCTTAAGCAGAGATTAATGTGTTTAGATCGATGCCTGTCTTTTAAAGGTTATCGTTGCTAACTGCTACTGTAAACTACTGCTGCCAGGCACTATTTTTTGGGGTATCCCACTGGCATTCTGCAGAGCTTCAAGCATTCACCACTGCCATACTCAAGTAGCTTAAGGCACGCACTAGTAGCGCCTTCAGCTTCCGCCACCTCCTTTCTACTACAGCTAAACACATCTCATATTAATGAGTTATAGTGACTTTTCCCTTATGCATATGAATGGCCTGGATAGCTGAGCCCTGATGTTGCAATTTATGTACCCAAAAGAACCAGATCCTGGCCAGAAACAGAATACCTAGCTGAGCTTTGTTCTGCTGAACAGGGGTTTATTACAACTTTTAAAAAATGTAGATTTTCCTCCCCCTGCCCCGAGTAGACCAGCAGAAGTGCTTAAAATTAAGTGTACATTATCTTTCACTGCCTAAAAGCACCGTTTCTTGGTGTCACATCTTGGACCTCCAGCAGCACAGACAGAACCGATCACAACTTGGTTGTTCAACACTCTCTGTGTTCTCCCAAAGCCGGGCGGTTTTGCCAAATGCTCACAACTGGGGCTGGACTCAGTCTCTGGCTGATTTTGAGTCTCTTGTCTTTTCAAAATAATCACACCAACATTTTTACTAGACCATGGCTTTCACGCAGGTAAGATTCACGCTGTATACTGACCAGCCACAACAAAATACTGTAGGGAATTCTCGGCATCGTGCGGTATGTGTAAAATTATTAAGAATACTAAAAAGACTAAAAAAAAAAAAAAGGCCAGATGACTTTGAATAAAGTCCAACTATCTTTTCCATCAAGACACCAGCACCTAAGCGAGACTGAGATCTGCAGACAGTAGGTGGTTCATCACACTTGCTTGTGGCAGTAGGCAGAGCACGGGAAAGCACAACTGCTGCACTTCAAGGGGGTGAAGGTTTCGTCTGTTACTTCTCCCTTAGGAGCTTCATAAAGCTATTCACAGACATGCCAGATATTTTTTAAGAGCTACAGTGGAGAACTGGAAATAGCCACCTACACTTGAACAAACACCATTATTTTCTTTGTGTTTCCC